AATTATAATTATTACATTTATTCAAGATGGTGCCTAACACTTCCCTCTAGGATCAAATTGTTTGGTAATCTATTATTAATACAACCATTATATAGCCTGATGGCATATGGCAGTGGTTGGCTTTATCATTTCCCTTACTTCAGCAATATTGCTAAAGTTCTAAATATATGAAACTGAGAAGATAATTTTAGTTTAGCTTTCATCATTCAATTTTTTTTTAAATACAATAATAAAAATAAGTTGTTAGTCATTCTAAATAGTTAACAATAGCACATATACATATAGGTTGTGCACTATAATACTGAATTACTACAGTAATTGATATCAAGATATACTACCAAGTGTAGAATTCTGTTTCAAGATAAAAAAAATAAAAATACTGTAGACATTTGTATATAATTTATTATTATACATTTTTTTACATAAATTATTTTTAGCAAAAATATTTTAATAAAAAAAATTTAATGTGAGTTTTAATTCTGAAATCTTTACAAAATAATTATTTCTCTTATGTGAGAAAGACATTTTAAAATAGTGAATTTTTTATAAGTACTATTACCTTCAAAGATATTTTTGGATCAATACAGCTAATTTTTTCACTTCATATACATAATATATGTTATAGACAAAGAATTAAAATTGAAATGCATGTACGTTTGCTAATAATTTGTATATTTAGTTGTGTAAGATGTATAAATTATACTATACAATATTCTATATTTTATATTTCTGATAAAAATTTTTATGAGAAAAAAAATTGTAATTTTGTTTTGAAAATTGTTTTTTTTTATTTTAATATTAAATTATATTAATATTATATATTATACTGTTATTAATTTTAATTATTATNTTATTATATAGGAGAATAAATATTTGTATATCAGATGAATAAGTTAATTAATTTAAATAAAAGTGATATATTCCAATTAAAAATTTAAGATAATTTAATTTATTTATTAAAAATAAAGGAGATATTTCTTACTAACAGAAGATAATTATATTTTCTGTTATTCTAATTTTTGTATATTATATTCTCTTTTAAATTTTAATAATATAAGAAATATTTTAATTTGAAGTTTTTAATTTTTACTTTAATTAATTAATTATCATTTCAATTTTAATCAATAATAGTTAATTTACTCATTCAGACTTTTTCGTTTTGCTTGGTTCTATGTCATTACTTGGTGAATTTATAGACACTTAGCAAATAATTTATCATTAGCTTTTTAATCCATAATTTATTATTAGCATTTTTGGATTAAAAAGTAAAGGTATAAGTAAAAGTTATGGATTAAAAAGCTAATGATAAATTATTTGCCAAGTGTCTATAAATTCACCAAGTAGTGACATAGAACCAAGCAAAACAAGAAAAAAAAGGCACGGTTTCAACAAAACAAAATATAAGACTTCTTGAAAATATTATATAGAATAAAATTTTGATTCTTTATTCTATATATAGTTTAGTAAATTGTCTCTTAACTTGTCTATGATAATCATTATTTTTATTTTTCAACTTTTCTGATGATGGCATTTGCCTTTTACTGATTTCTAAATGTATCAAGTGTTGCAATGATATTAATGTAGAAGTAAATGAGTTTAGTAGAATAAAAATTTTTTATATTCATTTACAGTATAAAGGAATTTGGCTACAGGAAATACATCACTTATAAATAAACACAGTATTATTATTAAAAACAACTATGGTCAGACTGGCCATCTGGCAATTCTGGCAAATGCCTGAGAAGCTACTGCTCTCCAGGCCAGTAAGCAAGGCACTGGAGTTACACTAGAAATGCATAAAACCAATTTAGAAACCTATCAGAAATGTTTTTATAAAAAAATTTTTAAGGATAATACAATTATAATTCCTAATTATAATAATATATCCAAATTAACCTAATTAGTTATAAGGGAAATTTAGTATTTAATCTACTTCAGGAAAGAGAAAAACAATATGCATAGTGAGAATTTACATAAATTATGTGTCAACCACTACAGAGGTTAAAATTGAAGAAACAAAATATTCAACGTTTCAAAAATCACTTTAAGAGGTGATATTTACCTGTTTTAAGACAAAATTTAATCATAATAAAGACAATCAAAGCCAATGTAACTAACACTGAGCATTGCAAGGAAAACAAAAAAGTTTCATTGTGAAGAGTTTAATTTAGCATGAAAATGTGGTCATTTTCACCAATAAAATGGTTAAGACAGTGTTTTATTACAATGGAAACTTGCTTTATTATTATGCAGTTGTCCACTTTTATATTAAATGTTAACTTCAAAACATTTTCAAAAGTTTGAATTTTTAACATTTGAAGTTATCTTTATCTCCATTTCCTGAAACAGCTGTAAATTTTAAGTTACTCTCTAAGCATATGATCAACACAATTTGAATTAATCAACACCATATCTTCAAACTGGCTTTCTCTTATTTTTCCTCTAACAAATGACAGTGTTCATTGATGAATTAATTTTGACTCCACTCATGATCAAAATTCAACTTTTAACCCTCCTATAGTGATTGACATACATCTTTGCATAAATTCTCATTATGTCCATTTTTTTTATTCCTAAAGTAGGTTAAATACAAAAGTTCAAGACAACACTCAATTTTAAGTTGGAAGTGTCTCTTGTTAGTGTTATTTTTCTCTTAATTCAATGTGGCTTGTTTTTTAGGTGGTCAGTTTTTAGTACAGTGTGGGGCATAATGGAGTCTCACATTTACAAGGTGAATTAAGAAAAATGGTACAATAATATGGAAAAAACTTTTTATTTAATCAAAGTACATGTAAGAAAGTTATTTTTGATTAGGTTTAAAAATGATGTTGTCCAAATGTTGGCCGTCACAGGCAATGCACATTTGGAGCCATTCCTTGAAGTTTTCTTCAACTCTCACCAGCATATCTGGAGGAATTTTGGTGATTTCCTTACGAATGGCCTCCTTGAGTTCTTGTAGGGTTTGAGGGCAATGTTTAAAAACCTCTGCCTTGAGATACCCCCATAAGAAAAAGTCACAGGGGCTCAAATCAGAGGAGTGAGGGGGCTATTCAATGGCTTCTCGTAAAGAGATTAGTCAACCAGGAATCACCCAGGGGCATGTTTCCAAATAGAACACATTGGAGACTGCTCTATTGATGCTTTGAGTGCGGTGATGTTTGCAGGTGTCCTCACAGATTTGGACGCCCAACTGGCTTTTTAGGATTTGCAGATCTTGTTGCCCTTAAAGTTTGGACCCATTTCAAAATTGTTCTCTGATCAGAAACACTTTCCTTTGCATTTAAATGAAATTGCGTGAAAAATGCCCTCTGTGTTGTAGTCACAGATTTGGCGATTTTGAAAAAAGCCTCCACGACAAAGCACCATTGTTTACCCAACAACGGCATGTTGACCACTGACAACTTTCTCATTCATGCCACCTAGAAGGACAATGTCATTTTTAAAACTTAACCAAAAAAAAAAAAAATCTTTAATTCACCTCATAAATGTGGGATTCCATTATGCCCCACCCTGTATAATGCCAAAACCAAGTTTTGTTTCCAGTCTGGCTCTGAAAATAACACACAATTTCATTTTTTAAAATAATAAAGAAATTTACAAAAATACCAATATTTTCATCTCAACGTAAAACCAAAAAGACTTAAATTTCATCTGAAAATTTGATTTATTTCCAGTCATTTAGAAACAGAGTATCTGTAATTTTGTATTTAGCATGTTTGCAAAGTAAAAATTTGTTTCATCAAAATTATTTTCAATATTGGTCATTTTATTAAGAGATCAGAGGAAATTAAAATTTCACGTGCGTATGTGTATTATGTATAAAAGATTGATAATAATAATTTTTTCACACTGTACAAAATATAACTAGCAAGAATATAATTTTAAAACAGATACATTTATAACTTTTCCTGCTCAGAAAAAATTAGAGATATTTATAGGTGAAATTTCATCTATATAATATAATAGTAGTGGGAATGATAAAGATGCCTGTGGGAGTTCATTTTACACAAAATACAGGAATTACACTGGCTTTTTTTTTATAGCAATTGCAAACTTATTCATCAAACACATTTTTTATTCACTGAATTACTTTTTCAATTACTGACTTTTCATACCAACCTGAAACAAAAGGATGACTGACAATGTAAAAAAATGCAGCATTTCTACAACTGAGTTTCTTAAATGACTTTATTTTTGTGTATTAACAGTAAAGTCACATCAGACCAAGATGGATTCATTCTATGACACCCTTCATCAAGCAACTTTTTCCAGACCACTCTGTGGCTATTCGCCCCTCCAACTGCCAGACAATAAATACAGTATATTCATTTCACATTTAATAGTAATGATTTGTATACAAGACTACAAGTTCTACATGGAAAAAAAATTCTTTCTTTACTAGATGAGTTGTAAACTGCATCAACTAGTTACAGCACACCTTTAAAAACTCCAACCCAAATAACTTTACTAATAAACTTTAATTAAGAGTAATTTCAAAGAATCTGTAAAAGTAAGAATTAATTAAAATCACATAAACGTCGATATTAAATAACGCATTTATTTAACATCATCAGATCTTATTTCCTGCAGGATTCCATTGAAAAAAAACTTGGTTATCTTACACGACTGTGTCAAATTTCCTTGTACATGCTGAAGCCTGGGTTAATTTTCAATATTTTCTGTTTCCGTTCGTATAAACAACATATTTTTATCGTTACGAATTCATTCGACTCATTTATTCGTTAATTAATTACTATTTTGGTTTTAAATCCCTCAATGAAACTTTTAAATCTTAATGTTTACCAATGTATTAAAACAACATGGCGGTCACCTGATAATGTCATCGACATTCGATTTTAACGAATATAACAAAAATTACTAATTATTTTCGGCATTTATTAGTATCCGTGTCTTAAATTATCTATCCGTAATCTTCTGCCGCTTTTTCTTAGCTATTATCATCGTACTTTTCGTAATTTTTAAAGAAATTTTGTATTTACCTTGAAAACAACGTTCCATGTAAATCCATACTGCCATCTGGTAGAATTAAAATGTCAATTAATTTATATAAAATAAATTAAATAAATTAATTTACCTACGTATTTATTTACTAAATTTATGCATCGTTAATATTTTAAAGTAGTTAGTAGAAAGTTTTTAAAAACTTTTGAAAGTTTATGTTTATGTTTGTTTTCAAAACGCCAGAGGGCTGATCGAGTGAACATGTGGATTCGAAATCGATGTCGAATGTGTGTTGTAAGTTATATCAAAACTACTTAAGTGTTATTGATGATAATTTGAAGTTCGTTGATTAGAATTTAATATGTTTTTTTTTTTTTTAATGGAATGATGATATTGAACTAATGATTAGGAAATATCTGCTAAAAATTAGTGAAGAAGAATGTTAAATAATCTTACTTGAAATTGATACTTTTTTTACTTTAAACAGTTATATAAAATTATAAATAATATTATTTGAAAATGTTCTTTAATTAGTAAATATTGACGGCATTTCTTTTAAAATTTGGAATGTTTATATAATAATTACTTTTATTTATAAAACTAATACAGTAGAACCTCGAAAACTCGGCCTAATGTGGACCGAAGGGTGGCCGAGTTTGTGAAAATGCCGGGTTATCGGGAATGGGGTTAAAAAAAATAAGTACGAGTGTTTCCTCAGAAAATACTGTACTGTACTTGTATGTATTGTTTACTTGAGAATATAACAGAGAATAAACTGCCCAAATACCCTTAAACAAAGGAAAAGTACGTCCTTTATGAAGGCATAGAGCCTTTACTACATGAAAATGAAAATTAATGAATACACTGTGTACAGTAATTTACCTGATAAGACAGACCTCAGAAAAATACTTTATGAGAGGTTTTATACTTTTATAAAGCTGTCTATAATGAAAATTAATTAACTAAGGATTTTTTTGCCCTGCCAGGGTGTGGCCGAGTTATCCGGAGTGCCGGGTTATCGAGAGCCGAGTTTTCGAGGTTCTACTGTATTTTAATAAATATTTATAATTTAGTAAAAAATTGTGTATAGAATATTCTTAAATCAGGTTTTGCATGAATGACGACAATAATTGAGTAATGACACTTATCTGTTTCTAAAATATACTCTTTTTTTGAAACTTATGAGTGAATAATTATTTAAATATAGAACTAATTTTATGTGTAAATATTGAAATTTAATTTTTTTTTTTGTAGAAAGTATAAAAATGATAACAAGGAAGATATTACAGTTTGGATTAAGGACTGTGTCATTCTGTATTAGAAGTTGTTCTTCAAAAGTTCAGCCAGTTCATTCATCAGATTTTGGTAATGTAATAATATTTAAATATTTTAAATTAATTTTGTTGTCTCTACTGTGTATATTTGAAATGCTAGTAATATTATACTACAGAATTACAAATAAATTTTATTTGCAAATTTAAATACTTCATCCGAGTCATAATGTATTACATATATATTTATTGATAATACATAAAAAAATATACATTTATTTTGATCATTTAGAGATTTTTGTATTATTGAATAGTTTTCAGGTATTTGCTAATATTTCCTGTACAGAATGTATGCATCAGTGAAACACAGCAAAAAATTATAATTATTTCTAAAAAAATAATAATGAAATAGGTCAAAAATCAATATTTCAAATATTTTCATTACCACTTATCATCAGCATCATCAGATATATAATTTAGAAATATAATTTCAAATAAAGTAAAAGAATTAAAATAATTCACTATGTTAAAGAATATGCAATTCTATTGCTTAAAACATGTAGGGAATATTGCAATATCACATTTATTTTATAACAGTATTACAACAGTCAGATGATTGTTTCGAGCTCTACTTATGATCTTATTTACACCACACATGCTACCATTAGCTACCATACTATACCATAATATAGTTGGTAATGACTGCTTACTAGAGTTCTTGCCATTCATAATAAATTTAATAAAATTTTATTTTATCTGTCTGTCTGACTAATTAATTTTGTACATCACTTAATAATTATGTAAATTATAATTATAGCATTACGATGATGATATAATATCCTTAATTATTGTATTACATTAAATCAACATTAACTGATAGGCAAAGTTTTTCTTGTAGTTCATGAATACAAGCCATAATAAGTATGAATTTGTTCATAAATAGTAATAATGATAACAACAATAACAACAACATTTTAATATGCTATTATAGAAAATATATATAACAAATAAATAAATAAGTATAAATAATAATTGTTTGTAATTTATTTATGGTTTAAAAAATATGCCTAAAAATGATAATTAGATAATTAGATAATGATAACTGTGTTAAATTTATTTAAGTATATAAAATTTTTAAACAGTTTTTTTATCAAGTAACTAAAACGGAAAGTTCCATGTGACTGATACATCACACCATTGAATTCTACAGCCACTTTCTAACCAAGATAATGGAAATAATGAAATGGAGGCACTATCATTAAAGAGTCACATTTATTTTTAAAAATTCCATGTTAAAATTGTTCAAAATATTCATTTTGTCTGGATACTAGGTCCAAGCCCTCTGATTTATGAAGCATTATTGTTATTTTTTTTTATCTGAATGAATATTATCTCTATTTTTAATAATATATATTATTTTAATAATAAAAGCATTAATTAAGAAAAATTTTACTGCATTTAAGGCAAGTATGCGGGCTATCATATTTATTAAAAATAATAAGAATACATAAACCTAAGTAATGTAAATTGCAATAAAAAGAATTTTTCCAAAAAAATATGAGAATCATAAATCCCTCGAAAAAGAAATTGTATCATATCCAGGAGATTACCTGGTTGGAAATATTATGGAATAAATGATATTTATTTTTTCATTGATCAAAAAACATATATGACTTGAAGAAAATTGAAATGAATACATTCAAATATAATGTAATAAATAATGAGGCTAATCAAGTGACAGAACAGATAGAAAATTATTACAAGATTACAAGTTTAAAAATTTTGATTGAATTCTTATTATTAAGTTGTTAATACAGTTTTTAATGCAAAATGCATATTGAAAGAAATTATGTTATGATTAAATTCATAAAATAAGTAATATTAAAGAATTTTGTTGTTAAATAATATAATATATCTCAGATAAAAAGCTGAATGAGATAAGTTTTCTATCTATGCTGAGAGAATATGAAATTATACAAGGAGGTGATTGTGATGCTGCAACATCATCATAATACCAAAGCAATATTGTAACTAGTTTTTCATGTACTCTGTGTGAGATTTTATTTTTGGCTCCCCCCTCTTGAAAAAATAAAAAAACAAATATGATAGAAATGGTCAGTTACTTTTTTAACTTTGCCAAAAACATTATGGAATCAATCCTCTAAGGTGGCAAAAATTAAAAATAAACATATAATACTGATAATTTTTTAATATTCCATTTTGGGCCATTCTTTATTCTGAGCCCTGTTCTTGGGCATTTGTTACACTAGCCAAGTTACAACACTGATCAAAGTTTTGTTAGTTCAAAATAAAAATAAGTATAACAATGCATGTTGTGCAACTTCAGTGACAGAAAATAATCTTACACAAACAGAAAAAAGTAAAAAAAAAAAATAATAACTATATTTCAGAAGCACGTGTCAAACAGTGTGAAGCACAGACTAAAAATAATTACATACAAATTTGAAATAACTGCAATTTCAATCATTTCTAGCAAAAATAAAAAATGTAATAATTTAATACCCTTTTTTATTTCTCCTTTTGAATTCATATCAAATAAAAATCAGTCCATAATTTGTATAATTTATAAACAATCTATGAATTCAAAATTATTCAATTATCTATTTTTTATCTTTTATTTAACAATTATAAAAAGCTAATGAAACAAGAATGATGTAAAAAGTTAGATAACTAAGATAATTGAGTAACATTTTTCAAAAGACGACAGGGGGAAAGTGCCTTGATACTCTAAATCTGTCTTTAGCCACACTCATATTCTTAAAATCCTGCATATACCACTAGAACTACATTTTGAAAAATAAAGTGTTGTTGATAACATAAGTCTATATTTAAAGTAAGAGACTTTTTATACTATTCTAAGCTGTTTCAGAATATACAAAAGTGATATAATAATTATAAAAACAGTCAAACTACAGATTGTAAAATATTTTGTGTAAGGTAATCATTTTATATTTAAAGTTATTGCAGTTTATTTTTTTAAACAGTTATCCATTTGGTATTTTAAAACATATTGTAAAAAAAATACAAATAATAAAGATTTATACAAATAAAAATATTGAAGTCTTCTTTGTCAGCCTTTTCACATTCACAAGAAACTTGATCCACATTGGCATAGTTGACCTTTCCTTATAGGCTACTTCCCTGCCTATAGCTATGTAAATCGAGTAAAAGTTCTGTGAGTTCAGATATTTTTCATAAAATTTCATATTATAAATAAATTTCTAATTTTAGTCCTGGATTTTTTAGAAATTTATTTACAGTTATCCATTTGATATGTTAACATGATTCAAAGCATGATTTGTATGAATACTGGAAGAACATCTGAATGCAGAAAATTTTATTAAATACATCACAGCTTTTAAATAATTTGTTCTAAGCATTTATATTTAATGAATTATCTATTTTCATCAAATTTTAATTATAAATCAAGCAGATATCTGTTGTGACATTGTCACAATGCTGGGCTGCAATTTTAATTTATTTAATTTAAAATATATTCTCTCCACCTCAAATTAGTACTGTAGTGTCTTGCCCCTGTACATGATACTTTTCTATTAGCAATGGAGTTGATGGAGTTGGGCCAGTCATCTATCTAACTCCTTTCAAGGAAAAATTTTTGAATTGAAATAATGTGACTTTTGGTTTGTATATAGTTAATTGGGGCCTCCTGCCCCTAAGCTTTCCATATCTGGTCTTGACTTTCGTGTATTTAGCTCCATTCTCGAGATTAAGGAAAGACAGATAACAGTGGGAATTTATAGGTCTACAATTTTTTCAAATTGCAGCCCAAAAACTTTAAATTTGTTCAAGAATAGTATCTTATTCTTAGGATTTTGCCAATAAGGAATACAGGTTTAAATTTCAAAAGATTAATATATTTAAAACAATATACAGGATGTCCAAATGATATTGTGTTGTAGTATAATTATTAACATAAAAAATTCAGCAATTTAATCTCTATCAATAAAAATAAATTATTCAAATTATTCAATAAAACAATACAATTATAAATTTAAGCAATCTGTACTACAGTATCTAAAAATATACAGGATGTCCAAAAATTTACTATGTAGTATAAGTGGTTTAAGTAAATTTAATAAAAGTGAAGTTTTACATATGATATTGCAGTTTCTTCTGCAGCAAATGTTGAAAATGTCTTCCAGTCCCAAAATTTGGAAAGTGAGGTCCAGAGACCTAACAGTCCAGATTCCATATGAGATTATGCAATTGTCAAAGAAATCTTCTGAAATCCAGAACATGTATGAACAAGCAGTAACACCATCTAATGCAAAATGGAAATGTAAGACATACAACTTATCGGTCTCATGTGCAACACCATACATTAAATGTCATTACAAATTTCTCACTGCATAGTACTTTTTGGACACCCTGTACTAAACTTTTTAAGAACTTTTGTAGATAAAAAAAAAATTGCAATTAAACATTTAGTTTTTTTTACTTATCAAAATTTCCTAATTAAAGATATCATGAAATAGATCCATGCATGCATGATTACCAAAATCATTTTCAATGACATATTCTGGAAATATGCATATATGAGAATCTAATACATAATTTATATTATATATTCTAAAGAGTAATTACTAGAATTAGGACACTACACACTAAAAGTCATATAAGGTTTAAGAATTATCATTCATTTAACTTAAAACTTGTATGAGTTTTAGTCTAGTGTTCTAGCTTTAATAATTCCATAGATAAACACAATGTAAAAATTCTTAAAAGTTTAGCAACTCTTTGTACAGTACTTTGTAAAATTTAAAACTCTTAAATATCTGAAGACTGTGTTGCTTTCTTAATTAGTTTAATTGATTCAATAACTATTTAATTAAATAAATAATTCAATTCAAAATGCAGGATAGTGCTGGCTAAAAACTACTTTGTTCTGTCTCCAATTTTGTAAGTTTTCAGAAATTGAGTTTGAAATCATTAAGGATAATAGACAGAACAAATTGTTTTTGTTCTAGTGGCATCAGCAATGAAGATATGTCATAATATACTTGAATGAAATAGAACAATATAGTATTAAAATCTTAAATTATGCAAAAGTGAAGATAGAAAAAGTGGTTCTCAGCAGATATCTTTACCTATCCTAAAGGTTATATTCATTATTATTATACTATGTGACTTTCTGTATGAGTTATAAGTTATTCAATCTAGGTAACTTTGTTAAAGTTATATAAATTGAATAACTTTATCTCTCAGTTTCTAATGAAAACAAATAAAATGAGAATGAACTGCATAAAATAACTATATTCATCCACTACAGATAACAAAGCAGAAAATTTGTTATTTCAAGTTTAATTTATACTATTGGATTACTCTTTATCTTATTTTTTTTTCTGGATAATTTAAATTAATTTAATAGGTTTTTTTCTGTGCTTTGAATGCCATAAGATTTTACAGTTTTAATTCTAAATTTGAAATTTGAATTGCTTTGAATAACTAATGGATATTTCCAAGATATATGAATACTTTAAACTAATGTTATTTACTAGCTGAATATCAGAAAAATTTTAAATAATGTTTAGAAAAATTAATTTTTATTAATTATTCAGTTTAAAATTAAATATGAAAAATATTAATGTTAATGAACTACTTTGTTAAATAGTTTTATTCCTTTAAATAATTTATTTTATTGAGATTTTTAATTTATCTACTTAAACAGATGTGAAAACAAATAAGAAGATTTTTGAAAATGAAGAAGAAAGTCTCTTGCGACCTCTGTATCTGGATGCTCAGGCAACTACTCCTCTGGTGAGAAAGTTTTTTGTAATTTGGAACTACAAATAATATTTGCTCTTTCCTATAAATCTTAGTTGCATATGAAATATTTTATGAGTGTTTTTAGACTCATTAATTTTTACAATATTGTATAGGCTATTCTTGTGTCTTTAATTCTTAATTTAAGGAGCTTGAGCTAAATTTGAACTTAGCTCAAGCTTCTTACAATTCTTTTGAATCTAACTTTTGAAAGAATAAAAATTTCTTTGTAGGATCCCAGAGTGTTAGATGCCATGCTGCCTTACCTTATAACTTATTATGGTAATCCACATTCCAGGACTCATGCTTATGGATGGGAAAGTGAAGCAGCAATGGAGAAAGCTAGAAAAGTGTGTAGTTAATAATATCAATAGTTATACAAATTATAATATATATATATCTAATTAAATAACTGAAATTTATTTGATTTTATATGTTTATAACAGGAAAATGTTTTTCTTTAATAAAGTGATGCACAAACTTTTTGATTGGCAGGCCAAATTGCACATAAGTCATAGATAGGAAGCCACAAATATTTTTTATATTCCATATATATAAAACATACTTTTATCATTTGTGGGTGATGTGTCAGATATGTTCACAGACTGGATTTAGGCACAACTGCTTTAAATTACAGTAGAACCCCTCTAGTCCGCCCTCAGCTAGTCCGTCACTCCGGTTAATTTGACCGTGGTCGGAGTCGAGAAACTTGTCCCGACTCGTCAGTGACTCACCATCCATGGCATTTTTCTGTGTTTGTTACAGTATATGTTTTACATTGTGTGTACATGTACAGTTTTGTGTGTGTTTTCAACATGTCAGGAGTGAAACGTAAACATGTTACTCTTTCATTAAATGAAAAATTAGCAGTGCTACAAAGATTGGACAAAGGGGAAAATTGTTTATTTTACTTTTTTCTGATAATCCAACCTTTTTTGCATTCCGACCATACCCCCAGTCCCAAAGGTGACGGATTAGAGGGGTTCTACTGTATGTGGTAATGAAGAACTTCATCATCAAAAATATCTATTGTAATGATCTACAATCATATTGACTGTTGAATCATTATTATGATCTAAGAAAGATGAATGAAATGTTGAAATAAACTTTTACTATCATTAATACAGGATTAATTTACATATAATTGAGACTTGGAAAAAATTTACTAATTTGTAAATTGTCAGTAGATGAAACTAGCTGGAATGAAGAAGACAATAAAAAGATGACAACAAAGACATGATACATTAGTTATGATGAACCTGTACTGGAATGAGGACTAACCAGTAGAACAGAGAGCTAGTTTTTAAAAGATGATAGAAACAAACTCATTCAGACTGAATGGTAAATTTGGGGAAAAGATATTTCTTGTTTTCTATCACCAGATATCTCAAAGTCTAACATGTCACCTCTTGACAAAACATGTATTTCATATATTGTAATAGGTGCTAGAAAATATTGTGAAGCATCAAAAATCTAGAGTAATTGGAACCAGATTCCATCTGGATTTTCAAATATATTCATGCAAATTAATATTTTAAGTACTGTGAATTAAGTTTAGATGGTCTAGCTAGTATTTCACAAGGAATCTAGGAATAATTACAAAGATTCAAAATATAACTTACAGAATTACTATATTTAAACAAAAATTACAAATTCTGAATGAATGTTAAAATATCAACAATGAAGTTACCTACTCACAATTCTTCCAGATTGGAGTGACAATATTAATAAGTCTTCAAAGTATCTTTTAAAATAAAACTCCAGTACTTGCTTACTCATATAAAGACTGACATTTTCAATCCTTTCCTCTGGATCTTCTTCAGGTCTGTTTTTTAGAATCAGAATACTTTTGATTTCTTTGCAAGCATTACTTTTTAACCATCATTGCATATTTTAAAAACTCAACTTTTAAACATCTGTTTAAAAGTTTAAAAACTTTTTAAACAGATTTTAAACTTTAAATGTAAAAGAGAAATTGAACACATTTTTAAGAAAAGCAACATTTGCAAAAGCGTTCTGATTCTAAAAAAATCATAGATCTGATGAAGATCCAGAGGGAAGGACCAAAAATGTTAGTCTTTATATGAGTAAGCAAATACTGAAGTTTTATTTTAGAAGGAACTTTGAAGAATTATTAATGATGTTACCATTAAAAGAGGTTAATTTCATTTTTCAATGGCTGAATCTGGATTTTTGATGTCCAGATTTTTAATGCTTTACAGTGTAATTAAATAAAAATAAATTAACATTGTGAAGGATAACAAAAGGGAATGAGAAAGCAATAACTTGTACTTACATATCCTTAACAATAGTTTTCTTTTCTTTCCTAAGTGTTACACACAGAAACTAAACATTTTTAGCAGAAAGTGTTTTAATTAAATTTTTAAAATATCAACATTAAAGTTATTTGAAATTTGGAATTTTGTTTTAATTTTAATATTACAACTTTAGAAAGGGGTTGTATTTATATGTTGTTATATGTTTAGATCTCTCTATAATTTTTAATAAATTTAAATATTTGAATGTTTCATTCTACATTTTTTAAACATTTTTTTGTAATTTTATCTGAAAATCCTTTGAATAATAAAAATGAAAACACTGACACATGTTCATAGCTGTATATTTATATAATTATAACCATGTTGCATCTCTAAATCATCAGCATAAAAATTGATTCTAAATTAAATAATTTTATTAACGTTTTTAATTTATACTCATTAATTATAAATGATAATTTTTATACTGTATTTACATACATATAACAGCATGCTCTTACATTCAAGTATAACAGTATACACTTATAGATTGGGCAAAATTCAGTTTTTTCATTCCATATAAAAAGTTGTTGAAAAATCCAATAAACTGTACCAAAACATGCATTGATTTGTCAGTACAACTTATTGACACAATCAGTATTTGAAGAATCTTGGTTATGAGTAAATTTTTTTAGAGGCATTGCCAGAGTATTTCTTCCAGAACTGTCTTAAGGGCAGTTTTTTCCATCTTTCAATCTATTATTAATTTTTATCTTCCAGTTCAGAGCATTACTTTGCAATCACAGCTCAATAGAATAAATAATAAACTTAAAAAAACTTATTTACTAATTAATAAATTTGGCAACCTTCCATCTTTTTCATATTTCAAATGCAAATTTGGCACATGATCATTTTTATTTTCTAGATTTAAATACAGATTGGTATATTTTGATCAAACATTGTATTATAAATATTTTAACTGACCGTTGTTGCCCTCTTACATTAGCTTGCAATTACTGCATTTGTCTATTGCAACATTACCATAAATGTAAGAAATAAATATATAATTTCTTAAATTTATTTCTAATTAATTTGAGCTCTATAAAAATTGTATTTTTATTTATTGACATTTTTTAATTTTATGGCATGTATTGTAGTAATATTAGTTCGTAACAAGTTTGTAGCAATATTAAATTTAAAAATTTTTCTTTTAAAAGCAAGTTGCACAGTTAATTGGGGGAGACCCAAAAGAGATTGTATTTACAAGTGGCGCAACTGAATCTAATAATATAGCAGTGAAAGGTGTTGCAAGATTTTATGGTGAAAAGAAGAAGCATGTTATAACAACACAGATTGTAAGTTTCGAAAGTATTTTAATATCATTGAATAAATTTATTTATTGACATGAAATATGAATTTCAGGAACATAAGTGTGTATTGGATTCATGCCGTGCCCTCGAAGCAGAAGGTTTCGATGTTACTTACTTAAATGTACAGAAATCGGGACTAATTGATTTGAAGGTATGATTTTATAATGCAAAATTGAAGAAATTACAAACAATTTATTTATTTCTAACATATTGACAAATTAGTTTATTAGTTTTTTTGAGATTTAAAATTTATTATTTAGAGTGAGAACAAAGCTCTTTTGTTATACATATTTCAGTTATTATTGTGTCTTTTCAGTTCATTCAGATTATCAATTTGTTTCTTTATTTAAGAACTAGCTGATATTCCATGTAAATAATATCTCAACCATCTGCAGTTTGGCTTATTTACAAAAATTAGTTTTCATAAATATTTTAATTTAATGCTCACAAAAATATAAATTTAATCAAAATCTGAGAAAATCTATTATTCAACTCAATGTATTGTTTTCAAAAGAGAAACAACATGCTGATAAATTTCTTTAGAAACCAAATTCATTCATTGAATAGAGCAATAAACACATTTTGTTTTTAAGAAATTTATCAGTAAATTATTTCTCTTACCTCAAACACAGTACAAATCATTTTACAAATCTTGGCCGGGAGTTATGCATTATTTGAACAGGGCTTGGATAATTTAAGAATGTGTATGCCAGTTATCCAAGAGCAGGTTCATAAACCTATTAAATTTAAATAATGGGTGGCAAAATTTGTTACATATCAGCAATACACAAGAGCCACATTCTTTATTGAAATGATGTTTTATATTATATATAGTTAAAATTCTATACTTATCACTATTCTGTAATAAATATTACTTTACATTATCTAACCAATCATAAAATAACAGTAAACATTTAACTCCTTTGACTTTATAAACACACCTTAAATTTCAGTTATCTGTATCAAAGTTAAGTTGCAAGTTAAACTTAAAATTCATTTATATATCACACTTCATAGTAGTCACAAACTTATAAAAATATGATGTATATGTAATTAGTATGTACCAGATTTATAAAAAGAAATTATATAAGTATAAGAGAACTGCAGTAAGGTCTATAGCCTAATGCAGGATGCAAGATGTAGTTTGGCCATTGTGATTATATAATCTTTACCCTTACATTTTAACATCCTTTCTATTGTGCATCACATCATCTTGGTCAAGATTTGTGAAATGTATTGTATCAGGTATTTCAAACTTTGATGATATTGTTTTCACTATACAATATTTCCATAATGTTTTCTGTAAATTAATGACACACTAACTTTTTTGTTTAAATTCTTTTATAAATTTTTTATTAATAAATTTGCAAGAATATTTAAGTATTTATTATTATTGAAAAATATATTACTATTAACAAGCATAAGTTTTGACAAGATTACAGATTGTAACATTTTACCTTGAAAGTGCGAACAGTGCAGACAAGATTTTTTTCCAATGCAATGTTAATAATCATTTCTTAGACTTACTAAATAAAAACAAAATGATTAATTTGACTTTTTTATTAGAGTTAAATCAGTTATAGTAGTTTTTGTTAGATACAAAATGTTCTTAAATTAGAATAAAAAGAATTTAAATTAAAGGAAGATAAGATAATTCAAAACAAATTACAATATTTTATGTTAAAGTGAGTCAATGATTGTTGCAAAAGATGACTTTTCTTTAAATTGAGAAGTATAATACACTATTTACCTTATAAAATTTTGTATATGATCTGATATGATGAGATCATATAGCAAATAATACAAAACAATTCTTCATTATGAAGAATTTTCAAGAAATGGCTTCTCTTGTCTGTATCTTGTTTTTGTTTAGCTCATTAAAATAACATATACTACAATTATTTTTGTAATACTGATTAAAATCTTATAAAAATCTTTAATTAAATAGGAACATTTTATTTAAAAAAACTGTACATTTTGTATACAGTAGACCCTCCTATAAAACGGGTTCATATAGTTTGGATTCCTATATGATGGCGAAAAAATTGCGACAGCTAAAAAAACTCGTATAATTCGGTAAAACATCATTGCCAACTCGTGTCGCAACAGGATTGGTCGAATCTACACCAATAACAGATATTGTACAAACTGTTGAGTTTAAATGAGCAGCAGACCTACTAAAAACCATTTATTATTTAACGTCCATAAAAATTATATTTATATTAATGATGTTTTACTTCTTCAGATTGATTACTTCTTACTTCTTTAATTCTTACTTCAGATTGATTACTTCTTGCATTTTCGATGGATTTTTGAAGCACTAATTATAAAAGTTTATAAAAATTGCAAACAATAGCAAAGAATGCCGTTACTCCAACGTTACCAACTTTGATACACCTCGTGAGCAGCAATCGAACATTAGAATTTGTACAAAAACAGAATAATGATATGCAATAAAAATAAATCCACATTATTTATTACAAATTTATTATTTATTACTGGCTAAAGACTTCAACACCACTTTACAACTGGCAAGAGAACTTCAGAATTCGTGCAAAATTTAAATTTTAGATATAGGGTTAAATTGTTCATAAGTTTGGAAGTTGAACGTTTGTAAGTAGGGAAGCTCCTGTATTTAACTTTTTTGCAATAATGCACATATTCACACATACGCACAATTGTACATTCTTGGCATTACAAATGGCTGCTGTGTCAAAGAACTTTTGGATTACCCAGTATATATGTTTATGGTAATGTTTTCATCAAACTTGACATTACAGTCGACCCCCCCTATAATGCGGTAGATACATTCCACTTTATAAGAATTTCACGTTGTAGGAATCTTAAATACATGAGCCAATCACAGCCCGGCATGTGTGCAGTTTACAGACTATGGCTGTTTGAAAGGTTTTCTTCCATAAAATTAATTGATTCTAGACTAATTTGACTCAACATTTCCAAAACACATATAATTTTTTGGAAATAATCTGTATAAACTATGCTATAAACAAAATATTGTAGGATTACTTACCTAGTGTGCACCGTTCGACAACGCCATTGCTTAAGCTTGTTTTTGTCGCGGAACAGTGCACCAAATGGCAGGTGCATTTTCTGATAAGTTATTTTTCTGCAAAAAATTCGCTGAACTTTGGAGAGATCATTAATAGAAATAATTTTTATGGCCGTTGAATAAGAAATGTATAAAATTACAGTACTGTATTAGACTTACAGTATCTAATTTATATACTGAACAGACGATAGTAAACTCAACTTACCCGCCTAAACTCTCCATAGCGTGTAAGTAGTTTGGCTGCTCATCCACTATTGGTCCAGATTCAACCAATTCTGTCACGACACATGTCAACGGTGATGTTTTTCTGCATTTTATGAGTCTCTTTTAGCGTCTTTATACTAATACGGTCGCAATTTTTTGCCGTGATATACTAATCCGCATTATATGAACCAGAGGTTCGACTGTACTTAAAAATCTAAAATTAAATAATGTTTCTTTTCAGTAAGTTCTAANAAAATAATCAGATATGTATATTCTCTAGAATGTGTAATATAAATAAATTATAATTTCTTATTGTTTGCAATTTATTGAACTGTGGTATATTCCTTTACACAATATTTTATTTGGATATTTTCATGTTAGTGTATAAGGCTTATGAATATATAAATGAGATTTTATAATTTAAAAAAGCTTTTGAAGCCAACATACAAAACAGTATCTTAATATACTTTTTTAAAATCACAATGAAGTGTTAAGTAAAGACACTAGACCAGTGTTTCTCAAACTTTTTGCTTATGCAACCCAATATATTTGTTTGTAATGGTTCTACATCCCAAGTGCTATTATAAAATTTTAAAAAGTCTGGTAAACTGGAGTCACTGTATATTATATAATGAAACAAAATTATGCATTATTGATAATAACTAATACATGTGAAATGTAACATTGATTACATTTATATTAATAGCAATTCAAGACAATTTTGATTCATAACAAATAACTTACTTCAATTTCAGTTTTTATTATTGAAATTTAGCTATTAAGAAATGTAAGACTGATGATTGTAAATAAAACAGACCATTTCAAAATTATTTAGGAGTCTGTTTTACTTTGAAAAATTAATGAATGCTTAATTTTAAAACTTAATAAAACCTTTTTTAAAATATGCCTTTCAGATTTTAAGATTTTATTAATTTCATTTTGTATATACACAAAAATAATCATTTATTGATCCACTTGTGCAAAAAGTCATCCATTATTTATTTTTTATAATTTATTGTTATGTATGACAATAAACCTAAAAGTTTGAATAAACAAGGAAATATTTTCAAAACTATTGCAACTTGAATAACATTATGACTACTACCTTACATATAATGATTTTCTATTTTGATGTTATTCAAAGTAAAAAAGAGAAATCAATTTCATATACACGTATTCACTGATGTTAACTTTATAACTAAATGACAATAATAATTATAAGAAAAAGTTCTTAACAGTTTTTAGTACTTAACCTTTCAACAGTGGACTAGTCGGGTATGGTTCTACCCCCAGCAGTGGAGAATAAATATGGGAAAAGGGAAAAAATGTGGGATTTTTAAAGTATTTTTCCACATGTTTTTTTTCATTACTGTTTTGGAAAAAGATTTTGTAAACAGTTATGTCTAGGAAAGAAAAGTCTTTTTTTATTGTTACATAATTCATTTTTTATGTGAATTTTTTTTCGCGATAGTTTTAGGCTAGTTTTTGGTGATATGCCCCAAAAGAATTTGATGACTATAGTCACTGAGTGGCTCACTGAATGGCTAACAGATGCATCTACTGTTCTTAGTTCTTACAGAATACTTTAGTAATACAAATATTACAAGTATTTCTGTGGAAAGTAGTATCATTACATGACCTGTTAAAATTTTAACATGACCCATAGTTTGAAAAATGCTGCACTATACTATTCAACATCCTTTTATTCAATTCTTTATGCTGGTCGATTCATCAGTCAAAATGCATTTTTGACTTGAAAGTTCTTCAGTTGATTCTAGAATACTTTTGATTTATTATCTCTTTGTTCAGATAAACTTTTATTTGCATTTGTTCATATTTGTGTAAATATAATAAAATAATTTTAAGACAAAAATTGTTCAAACAAGTTAAAATATTTACAAATACTGTTTTTTGTGTATTGACATTGTTTAGAGGAGCTTCTACTTCCTCATCAGGGTAATTTACTCCTTTTTCCTCGTCTGCCCCTGTAATTATCCTCTGCTTGCTTTCAATCCTATATTGGAAGACTGCTAGTTTCTGTGCATGGGTGAAAATGTATTTACCATTTACAGCNTTTTTTTATATGTGTAATTATTATTTCACCTTTTTTTTTTATAAAAATCTAAATTATGACTAGCTCTATTCATTTAAAATTTTATGAATTTAAACAAGTTATAAAATTAGAATTGAAAATATGTATCTCAGATATTGAAAATAATTTCTCAGACTGTTTTGGAGATTTATAATATTAAGTTATGAGTGTGATTATGATTTTCAGTAGGGGTGAGCTGTTGCAATGATTCTCAATTTTTTTTTCACTATTGGCATGACTCAACCATTTGAATATTTATATATAAGGAACTGTATACTTAAAATCTTATATTTACTTATAAGATTTCAAGTATAAGGTTGAATCATATAATATTGAAAGTGTACAGTTTCTTATATAAAAAATATTTAAATAACAATAAAGTACAGTGAAAATTAGCATTTTTAATTATTTTTTGAATTTTTGTGGCACCCCTGTGAAGATTTATAGCACATCAGTTGAGAATCATTAATCCATTGTATGCAAAATGTTTATTTAGATAATACTTTTATATAAGATTCAATAGCTGAATCATAAGATATCTTTATTAGTTTAGACACATAATTTTGACATAGTTTTACCTTTCTATCATGCTTTGTGTCATATGTTACAACAATGTAATAATAAATTATTCCACATTACTATTACTTCAAGGTTATATTATTGATTTATCATTGTTATCATATTTTAATTAAAATACTGTTTATTTCTGAAAAAATTTTAATATTAGCAAACAAAATTATTGATAGATAAATCCACTTACTACTTACATACTTGGCCATAATTTTTAGAATAAACTGGAAGAAAAGAATTGGCCCAGAGTGGGACTCAAACCCGTAACTCTTGCTAATCGTGCAAGAGTGAAGGTTTGAGATGCATTGTCAATTATGCTGCTCGGACTTTCGGTCTGATTTTTTCCAGGTATATTTAACTTACAATATAACCATTGTTGTTTATTGTGGTGCCAACTGGGGTCGTATTCAGCATCATTGTCTTGGGAAGAAAAGAATTGTCCAAGGGCACACTCAGGTTTGAGTCTCTCTCTGGGCCAATTCTTTTCTTCCAGTTTATTCTAAAAATTATTTAATTAAATTATAATTATTAAATTTAATATGAGATGGTGCCTAACACCTCTCTTTATGGACAAATTAATCATTAATTCAAAATTATTATTGCCAAAATATAGCTCAATATTAAACAGCATTTAGTGTAGCTTTATGTTACATTTCAAATATCTCGCCTCAGCTGGAATCACTCTGCTCTTATGTTTTGTTCCCCACACCTTACAACCATACAACAGGGTTGAAGGATCACACTCTTGTACACAACTATACTTGTACACAGAATACATTCTTATGAATCAATTACCCTATGAAGGTAATTATCATACAAGCATTTGCTCATTTTCCAATCTTCCTATCTATTCTGCCATTACTCTCAAAGGTGCTCCCCAAGTAAACAAACTCCCATACCTGCTCCATTGTCAACTGTTTAGCTATACCTTGTACTCACTAATTTGCTTATCTCTTTCAAACACTACAATCTTTATTTTTTCTCCTTTTATTCTCCATTGTACTGACTGAAAGCAAAAGTGAATTGCAGTATCCCATTGACATGAGATACTTCATATAAGAAGAAATTGAACAGTTCACCACCCAGTTTCATGCCCATTTCCTCTTCTCTCAGCTGCCTCACACATTTATCCAAGTACATATTGTGAATAACCAGGGAAACTTTGCACAGTCTTGATGCATGCTCATATTCACAATGAACCATTCTAACAATTCCCCAGCTACTCTAAATCCATAATTAGTGTATATTGGCATTTTAATAGTATGGTAATAAAAAACAAGTTTAATTTATTTAAAGATAGGAGATGTGTTTATAATAAATATAATTTAGTGTAGCTAAATTTTTATTTCAACTAAAGTGTATTTAAATTTGAAAAAAGAAATTCATAAAGTTTTTAATTGGGATAATAAATTGGTTGTTTAAAACTTTTAAAAAATTATTTTTAAGGTGTAGGAGCATTGTATGTTCGAAGAAGGCCAAGAGTAAGAGTTGAACCAATTCAGAGTGGAGGTGGACAAGAAAGAGGAATTCGTAGTGGCACTGTGCCCACACCATTAGTAGTTGGATTGGGTGCAGCATGTGAAATAGCTTTGAAAGAAATGGAAGTGAGTTCATGCTTGTAAAATTTTGATTTTTGTCAATATACAGTAAAACCTCAGATGACCTCACTTTTGAGGTATAAAATTTCCGTCCACATAAGTGAGGATGTCATCCTGGTGAGATTACGAAAAAATTGACATAGAGAACTGTAATTAGTTTAAATCCTGGTAAAGTTTATTAAAGATCATAAAAATAAACAATAATTGAATAAAATAAAATAAATCCTTTACAATATACAATAATTCAAACTTTCATAAAGACTAATGCATTAACTAACATACTAGAATATTGAAATACAGAGTACATGTACAGTAAATGAAAGCTGTTTGCAATAAGATTCAAATACTGTACAGTACTAAACAGAATTGTTTAGTACCCATAGATGGAATCAATGTCTTTATGAAATTATGATAAAGGTTTTATTTAAATACTATATTTTAATACGAGACATCGGAAAAAAATTATTAAACAGAAATCACTAGATATGCAGAAGTATCCAAGTGTCGAAAAGAATTGTTTAGTATCCACAGACAGAATCAATATATTTAAGAAATGATAGTAAAGATTTTATTTAAATACTATATTTTAATAGGAAAATTCAGAAAAATTATTAAACAAAAATCATTAGATATGCAGGAGTGTTTAAGTGTCAGAAAAAATGTTAATAATTAAACCAGCTTTACCTCAGGATCATTGATATTTTTCTTTGTTGAGTATTTCAAGTGACACATCAGTGACATAGACTGATCATTGTTGATTTGAAGTTATATTTTTATAAAATACATTTAGATTTTGTATAAAATTATTGAACAAATATGTAATTATCTTTCTTTTTACTAAATTCTGGAGATAAATTTAATTTGCCCAACATAAATAAAGATTATTTTATTTGAATGTCATGTGTTAAGGAAACTTAACAAACTGTTTCAAAACTATAGCAATGAAACTAAATTCTATTTAAAGTATTTTAAACAATATGTTGAGTTACAAATTTTAGGTTTTCTTATTCTCTTTACCACATAAATGGAAATAATATGGTGTATCTTTGTCACCTTATGTCACTTCTATCTTGGCCACAAAGTGAGGTTTTACTGTGTATTATACATTAAGTTATATTTATTTGATTCTGAGTTTGCTTATAAGATTTTTAAATTTTAATAAATTTCTTTTAGTATGATCACAGAAGAGTTGAAGAATTAGCAAAGAAACTACTTGACAGTATCATGAATTCTGTAACTCATGTTATCAGGAATGGTGATCCTGATCAGACTTACCCAGGTGTTGTATAAATACTAGCATAAACTTCATAATTTTATAATTTTTTTATTAATTTTTATTGCCATAGAAAAATTATTTCACAATTATTAACATAAAAAAATTGACAAAATGTAATGCAATCTGTAAGATGCTGATATCTTACATCAATAGTATCAGATCATCCACTGTATATCATATTTTTGTGGAATGACCAACATGCAGCATAAAAACCAGCATGCCAGTTAAATTATGACTAAAATATAAAATTAATCAGATCTAACAAAACTACTTAATTAAACGTTAAAGAAAACATTCTTCCAAATACAATAAAATAATAACATTGTAATTTGACTGATTTAAAATCAGAAAGAGCAATTTTGTTTACAAGGCAATAAAATAATTAACAACTTATTGACAATAGTAGTAGTTAGTCAGTCAGTGTGGGCTACAGTGTAAGTTGAGATAATTTACAGTGAGTTTTTTTTAATTTAATGTGTTTATTTTTGCATTTTTGAATTAAATAACAATAAAATTCACATAAAAAAAAGCACTTTCAGAATTCCACAAGTAGTTTACATTGTTAGAAAGACGACAAAATGAAGAAATTAAACATATAATTGTAGTTTTTGATGTAATGCTGACAGTTTCACAGTTTTAGAATAAAAACTTATTCACTTTTTTTAATGAATCCTCTCATCCTTTCTTTAATTAATGCATCCTTTAATGCATATAACCTCATTTAAACTGGCATGCCAGTTTTTATTATATGGAAATATCTGATTTCATGGTCTCCCCTGGATAGAGCAGCATGCCAGGTATTTCAGGAAAATACAATATATTCACTGTATACTTTTCTATCAAGAAATATATCATATAGATCTTATTCATATTTCAAAAAAACAGTCAATTGGTTTCAAGCTGATGGTGCTACCCAAAATTTATTGAGTTTTTGAAAAACTGGATACCTCTATGTTGATGAAAGTGATAAATTTACCATAGGATTGCATTCTGCTTCTTCAATTTTGTGCATAAATCAACACAAATGACCTTGTAAACTGCATGTATTTATGTGCTAGTGCTTCCTCTTTATGCTCGTAAGTATTGCCAAAACATATGCTGATGCTATCTGCATTACATGAATGTAACAACAAAATGATAAAAATAGTTACAATACTTCCACAGTTTGTTCATCATGAAGATTTCATATATTGGATTCCGATTTATGAAAACTGTTATTGATATACATTTGCAATTTATATTTGCAAACTTTTTATATTAAAAGTATTACAAAATTATAATTATGATACATTGATAATTTGTACATGTTGGTCAGGTTGATCAAATTGTAAGGTATCAGCCTATCATGAGGAATTCAGATTCAAAACTGAATCTGCTTCTAGTTTAATTTAAATATCATTCTTCATCTCACTCTTGATAGCTGATCCCATATGGGTTGAGATCAGACATTATGGACAAAATTGAACCGGTCATAAATCATTAAGGCTTACTACACATTATCAAATCAGTCAGATCATGATTTTTATGTAACAACTATTATTAATTATATTTATGAAATTTTTAATAGGAAGCTCGGTATTTCTGATTGAGTAAAAAAACAAATTTGTATAAAAGAAAATTATTAATTAAAATTTATTAAAATTAAACTTAAATGATTAATTATAAGTAATTTTGTTCAATTTAGTTGAACTACTTTAAGCACTGAACATGGAAAAGAATTAAGCATTTTAAATGAATTCATTTGTAAAAGATTATTTATAAACATGTTCCTGTTTGTTAACTATAGTATGGTTGCTATAGTTATGAAAAGCATTTTATTCCATTAAATACTTTTATTTTTTACATGTTCAGTAATTTCAATTAAATTAAACAAAATTACTTTCAATTAATAATTTTATTTTAATTTTTAACATTTCTTTTTCTTATTAAATAGTTTTATTTTAGGTTTACTACAATGATCAGACTACATATTTTCATAAAATAATTTTGCATAATTGTTTCAATAAAATTTCAAAAACTAAATACTTGTAGGTATAAAATATAACATAAAAAGTTATTTATTTTATTATTTTTGAAATTAAGTAAAGAAATATAATGAAAGAAAATTATCATCATTATGATAAGTAAGTAATTGAATTTTTACAGGATGTATAAATCTATCTTTCGCTTGTGTTGAAGGAGAGAGTTTATTGATGGCACTTAAGGACGTTGCACTTTCTTCTGGAAGGTAAATTTATGATTTTATTGTTAAACTTCAATCATATTAAGATCTTTTATAAACAAACTATCAGAAATTTGAAGATTTTAATGGATAAAACAGTTACATTAATGCATTTAATGATTTATGATACAAAATCATATGTAACTAAATAATTTCATGTTTTAGATTTAAAGAAAAATGTTTTCTGAAATACATTTCAGTTTAACATTAATTATCATGTAAAAATTTGGTCTTAGTAGTAGTTTTCATACATCAAATATGAAAATTAACAAATGATGTATTAATCAAATATCTAAAAGTTGGATTTTTTATCTTTAATCATTGAAACAAACAAATAGCTACTATCTTGTACTAATATTGATAATTACATTAAATTTAATAATTTAGAATATTCTGGTAGAAAAAGGACTTGACTTGGACTCAAAATATTTTAAATTATTAAAGTGAATTCTAAAATTAATATAATTACATCATTATGCATTCAGATAGAATTGTCCAATTACTGCGAAACTTGCCATACATCCATATATCAGACAAGTATCCTATAAACAGGCTTGCAGAGGCACTCTGTATTCAGAATTTTCAGTAGTCTTCAAATGCCAGGTATGTTTGTATGATACAGTCAAAGATATTATGCACAGATGACAGAATTTGTCAAAGGTTGCATTATCAAGTTGAGGGAAACAGGATGGCTTGCCAAATTGTCCATTATCTGAACTGTTCTGACCTGACTGCATGGTGGTCAAGGACAGTTGTCAGGACATACATGGCAGACATGCTCTGGATGCCTTAGATGGACCACCAGGAGTGATGATCATCTGATTGTGAGACATGCACAAATAGCTACAATGGTGTCTTTATCTACCATTCAGAGACATATGGAAGCCTTACTGTAGAACCCTGTCTCCACTATGCATGCAAATTTGCCTGCACAGTGACCACTATGCATATTGCCATTAAAACTCCAAACATTGTTGGCTTTGTTTGTAGTAGTGCTTCAACAGAGAAGTATGAACTGTTAAAGTATGTTAAAGACTGGTAATGTATCATCCTGGCAATGTATTCCAGTTCTGTTTAGAAACAGATGATTACCATGCTAGTGTGAAGGACTATTATTGAGCAGCACACTACCTCCGCTACTAGTATGTTGATCTGGGGACTGTCATATGATAATGGGTTATCTTAGTAGTGGTTCAAGGAACATTGATGGACCTATCTTAGTAGTGGTTCAAGGAACCTTGAACACAGGATTCAAGGAATCCTGAAACTTCATATGTTACCTTTTTGATGATAGGGCTGCAAACAGTCATTTTCCTGCAAGTTAATGCTTTTTGGTCACACACAGCTAAGGTTTCTTAAGAATGTCTTCATCATTGACTTGCCCAGTCTTCAGATTTGTTTCCCATCAAACATTTGTGAAACCAGATAAGACATCAACTTCAGCCCTATAAATATGAGGGATTTGGAGCAGCAATTGTAATATCTGTGGACAAACCTGTTGCAGAATAGCATAATGTGTCTGTAAGCTTTCATGCCAGACCATATCACTGCTTTTATTCAATTTCAAAACCTCCTCCTTGATGTATAACTTTTCTGTCAGTGAGCATATTAATATTAATACAAGATAGCAGTGTAATCTGCCTATTTTTAATCAAAATTTATTTATTGCAATGATTAAAATCTAGTCTGACTACAGCCCAAAAGAAATCTGAATTTTAGATAACTGATAATTAAGATTTGTGCTTGATTTTTTTGTATATGGTCAATATTAAATTTAATAGCATTTTTGTCCATTAATTTTCAATATTTTTGAATAATTTAATACAGATATTTCCCTCTTTATTTATGTCAGTAATTCATTCCTGAAAATCATGTGAGATAGGCTCACAATTAATGTGAAAACAGTTATAATGTATTACAATGTTAATTCAAAATTCCCACTTAATTTCTGAAAACTTAATTAAAAGACAATACAATCCTATGTATAATCTACAAACTACAATAGACTCACTATAGAGTGGCTTTTAGGAATTAGTAATTCAAACACAAATCATTTATTGTATTCATTCAGACACTTGGCAAATCTCATCATTAAATTTTATTTAGTTGATTGTCAAAAATGGATGCTATATTGAATGATCAATATATTAAATCTTATCAGAAAAATGCCAATTACATCAAGCAATTTTCATATCTACATAAGAAAAATACTCTGAATATAAAATGCTATCCTTTAAAATTACATTATTTAAAGCAATTTTTAAAATCAATTTAAAAAAGTAAAGAAAAATTTACATAAATTTACATAAGTTTTAATAATTAAACAAGTCAAATTAAAAAAATAGTAATTTTGATTTAAAATTTTGTTTTAAATGTTCAGTTATATTTTTATGAAAGGTTGGTTCATTTTTATTTTCACATTTGTGGATTGTATTTGAAACTTTGCTCTGATAACATTCTGACCATTAATAGGGTCATTATATCAATAGTAAAATATTATGGATATGGAAGATTGGCCTGGACCTTGTCTATTGGTCTTTATATTATGTGAATCACTGTATTGAAGGTCACTATAAAGCAAGAGTACTGTATCATATTAGGATATAAAATGCTTAATATATTGCTTTCTGATCAGTAAATAGTTAATATGGTTGTTAACACACAGTTGCTCTGTATGTATTAAAATGTTTGGATTACATGCAAAATGCTTTTACATTCACAGTATGGTATAGAAAATAATATGCAACAATAAAGAAATTTGTTTTAAAAACTGTAGACAAAAATTTACAATAAAAGACAGGAATGTGTTATTTATTCCTTAACAAATTTCAAACATTCCTGTAAATTGGAGAATTGATTTATTATTATCAGTGGCACAAAGAGTGTTTAGGCTTTCTGCAATAGGAGGTGTTGATTTTCCTTTTCCAGTACAGTAGAGCCTCGATTATCCGACTCAATTGGAGACTGTGGTTGGTTGGATAATTGAAAAGTCAGATAACCGAAAAGTATGAAAAAATCCATTATTAGTGTAGTATATTATTAAATCCCATATAATTAGTATATTAGTATATCACCATTAACTTACTTCGCGTTGAATTTTCATCAATGTTAAGCCTAACAAAATTTTTTTAAAATAATAATCGTCGCTATTGTATTGTTAAAAATTAGAAAATTAAGCCTCATTTAAATACTGGCTCCCTTTCATGGTCGAATGAGTGTTGCCAGCTAAAACACGTAAAAATAATATTAAAGTAGCCAAGACATAGCCAAATATTGTAGTGCCACATCACCAGCGGACATTTGAAATTTGCCGACTAGGATGGTCGGTTAACCGAGGTGTCTGTTAATCGGGGGTCGGATAATCGAGGCTCTACTGTATTATCTCTATTCAAGACACATATTCCATTTTTTGATATTCATTTTTGATAATGTCTATAAATGATTCTAATATTCTAAATAATTGTATTTGGCTTTTAACTTGAGACATTTCCTGTGAGATATGTTGAAGTTTTGGACAAATATAAATTTTTCTTAAATAAACACTGGTCAAAAAGTCTTGCATCAAGAGATAAGTATGTTCTGTAAAGTTTGGATACACAATCCAAAACACATTCTGCTGAGAAAGTGTTAAGTGGGGATGTCTATATTTGAATTATTATGAACATTAATCTAAATATTTATAAATTTTATAAGATTATATGCATTAGGCAATATCATTTATTTATAAACAGTGCCTGCACTTCTGCTTCTCTGGAGCCTTCTTATGTCTTGCGTGCAATTGGAGCAGATGAAGATCTTGCACATTCTTCTATTAGGTAACATTTTTTGGGTTTTTTTTTTATAAACTGATAAAAAAGAAATATTATTAGGAATTTTAATACTAATGATGTTTTTACAGATTTGGTATTGGTAGATTTACCACAGAAGAAGAAATAGAATACACTGTGAAGAAATGTGTTTATCATATAAAACGACTGAGAGAAATGAGGTATTTACAAATACAAGTCCTTTTATTTTAACTTTGATATATGAATATACTAAAACATAATTATTTTATAAAAATATAACAACAGTCCTCTCTGGGAAATGGTTCAGGAAGGAGTTGATTTAAAAACAATTCAATGGACCCAACACTAATTGTAACAAGTAAGTTATTGTATTGTAATTGTATTAATATAAAGTAAGAATTCTATTTAAAAAATTTATCTGAAATATAAATACAGTACAGCATCGATTATCCGCATCAGTTGGGGACTGGGGTTGTTCAGAAAATTGATTTTTCAGATAACCGATTATGTACAAAAAAATATATTGACCTATCCCATGTTGAAATTTGTTCAAATCCTGGCACATCCTAAAGTACCCTCTCATGGTTGCACCAGTGCTGCCAGCTAAAACACATGCACCGACAAAAATTATATTGGAGTAGCCCAAGACATAGCCAAAGACTGCAGTGCCACAACACTAACAGAAATTTAAATTTGCTGACTGGAAAGCTTTCGGTTAATTGACGTTTCGGTTGATCAATATTTGGATAATCAATGCTCTACTGTAAATTAATATTTATAATTTAATTTATATGCTTTTTTATCTTGTTTCACAATAGCCTTTAATATGTTCAAAAAAGAAAACAAAAATACTTAAATTATCTACATATATATATAGAAACTCACAATGTTTATACATATATTCTGTAATTACTTTATTTATTTATGTATATAAATGAGGATGTTTGTTTGTTCACTATGCACACCTAGGCCATTTGACCNGGACATTTGAAATTTGCCGACTAGGATGGTCGGTTAACCGAGGTGTCTGTTAATCGGGGGTCAGATAATCGAGGCTCTACTGTATTATCTCTATTCAAGACACATATTCCATTTTTTGATATTCATTTTTGATAATGTCTATAAATGATTCTAATATTCTAAATAATTGTATTTGGCTTTTAACTTGAGACATTTCCTGTGAGATATGTTGAAGTTTTGGACAAATATAAATTTTTCTTAAATAAACACTGGTCAAAAAGTCTTGCATCAAGAGATAAGTATGTTCTGTAAAGTTTGGATACACAATCCAAAACACATTCTGCTGAGAAAGTGTTAAGTGGGGATGTCTATATTTGAATTATTATGAACATTAATCTAAATATTTATAAATTTTATAAGATTATATGCATTAGGCAATATCATTTATTTATAAACAGTGCCTGCACTTCTGCTTCTCTGGAGCCTTCTTATGTCTTGCGTGCAATTGGAGCAGATGAAGATCTTGCACATTCTTCTATTAGGTAACATTTTTTGGGTTTTTTTTTTATAAACTGATAAAAAAGAAATATTATTAGGAATTTTAATACTAATGATGTTTTTACAGATTTGGTATTGGTAGATTTACCACAGAAGAAGAAATAGAATACACTGTGAAGAAATGTGTTTATCATATAAAACGACTGAGAGAAATGAGGTATTTACAAATACAAGTCCTTTTATTTTAACTTTGATATATGAATATACTAAAACATAATTATTTTATAAAAATATAACAACAGTCCTCTCTGGGAAATGGTTCAGGAAGGAGTTGATTTAAAAACAATTCAATGGACCCAACACTAATTGTAACAAGTAAGTTATTGTATTGTAATTGTATTAATATAAAGTAAGAATTCTATTTAAAAAATTTATCTGAAATATAAATACAGTACAGCATCGATTATCCGCATCAGTTGGGGACTGGGGTTGTTCAGAAAATTGATTTTTCAGATAACCGATTATGTACAAAAAAATATATTGACCTATCCCATGTTGAAATTTGTTCAAATCCTGGCACATCCTAAAGTACCCTCTCATGGTTGCACCAGTGCTGCCAGCTAAAACACATGCACCGACAAAAATTATATTGGAGTAGCCCAAGACATAGCCAAAGACTGCAGTGCCACAACACTAACAGAAATTTAAATTTGCTGACTGGAAAGCTTTCGGTTAATTGACGTTTCGGTTGATCAATATTTGGATAATCAATGCTCTACTGTAAATTAATATTTATAATTTAATTTATATGCTTTTTTATCTTGTTTCACAATAGCCTTTAATATGTTCAAAAAAGAAAACAAAAATACTTAAATTATCTACATATATATATAGAAACTCACAATGTTTATACATATATTCTGTAATTACTTTATTTATTTATGTATATAAATGAGGATGTTTGTTTGTTCACTATGCACACCTAGGCCATTTGACCAATTGCTATGAAACTTAGCATTTACATTAACATACTTATAACTTAGATAATGTTATAAATATCACCCCTAAATATTGATTGGATTTCTATATATTAATTAATTTCTATCTATATTCCATTCATTGTCATATTATCATTTGGTATTCACCTGTGAATGGTAGTTTCTTAGAGTTAACATTAGAAAAAAATTATATCTGAAAAAATTTAAGATATCATATTTTCAATTGGTGTCTACTTGACCATTGAAATTGTACCATTTCGTACCATCTGAGTATCGTGATAAATGTGACATCACAATGGTAGGCTGAAATAACCAAACTTTATATCGTTTTCATTTTAATGTTTGTTATATTATAGTATTTGATTTATGTAAGAGTTTATCACACCAAGTGACCAATCTAACATATTTTAAAAATTCTTTAAATTGTGTAGAGGAAGAAAGAATTTAAAAAATGTGTTAGATTGGTCATTCAGTGTGATAAATCCTTACATAAGATAACTTTTGTAATTATATAAATCAAGTACTATAATGTAATATAATAGAAGGATTAGAAGTACAAAATAATCGTATAAACTTAATATTTGTTGGTATGTTTTGCATGGACATTGCTGGGCTTACCTGCTAGTTGCATAATATTTTCAAAATATATTGTCTTGAAAATATTCTACAGGTATTAGAATATTAGTATTATCTTAGTATTTTATTATCTAATAAGAAATATTTTTAAAATAACGAAAATGAGAGAGATTTGAAAATTCAATCAAAATGTATATCCAAAAAACTTATAGGAAAACTTTTTGAAGAAATCTGACACATATACTTCAAAATATCCCTGTATATGGAGATGAATACTATATAATTATTACAATAAAATGAACAGTTTTGTAATTTACGTGTATATAATAGAAATGTTTAACTGGGAGTTTTATAGTTAATAAAAATTTAGAAAATACCTGATTAAATAACTGTCATTTCTAAACAATATCAGTATAATACAATATTATTCAAATTACTATATGTACCATCAAGCAATTTTCATATCTACATAAGAAAAATANGTACTATATATACAGTTATTCAAATAATTTAAAATTAATTTTTGTTCATTCTATTATTTAAAATAAACTTTCATTAATTTTTTTTTCTTGCAGAGATCCAATTGGAAATGTTAATTCTAAATTAAATATTAACGTTGGAAGATAGATTTACATTTATATTTAAAATAATCAGATATGTATATTCTCTAGAATGTGTAATATAAATAAATTATAATTTCTTATTGTTTGCAATTTATTGAACTGTGGTATATTCCTTTACACAATATTTTATTTGGATATTTTCATGTTAGTGTATAAGGCTTATGAATATATAAATGAGATTTTATAATTTAAAAAAGCTTTTGAAGCCAACATACAAAACAGTATCTTAATATACTTTTTTAAAATCACAATGAAGTGTTAAGTAAAGACACTAGACCAGTGTTTCTCAAACTTTTTGCTTATGCAACCCAATATATTTGTTTGTAATGGTTCTACATCCCAAGTGCTATTATAAAATTTTAAAAAGTCTGGTAAACTGGAGTCACTGTATATTATATAATGAAACAAAATTATGCATTATTGATAATAACTAATACATGTGAAATGTAACATTGATTACATTTATATTAATAGCAATTCAAGACAATTTTGATTCATAACAAATAACTTACTTCAATTTCAGTTTTTATTATTGAAATTTAGCTATTAAGAAATGTAAGACTGATGATTGTAAATAAAACAGACCATTTCAAAATTATTTAGGAGTCTGTTTTACTTTGAAAAATTAATGAATGCTTAATTTTAAAACTTAATAAAACCTTTTTTAAAATATGCCTTTCAGATTTTAAGATTTTATTAATTTCATTTTGTATATACACAAAAATAATCATTTATTGATCCACTTGTGCAAAAAGTCATCCATTATTTATTTTTTATAATTTATTGTTATGTATGACAATAAACCTAAAAGTTTGAATAAACAAGGAAATATTTTCAAAACTATTGCAACTTGAATAACATTATGACTACTACCTTACATATAATGATTTTCTATTTTGATGTTATTCAAAGTAAAAAAGAGAAATCAATTTCATATACACGTATTCACTGATGTTAACTTTATAACTAAATGACAATAATAATTATAAGAAAAAGTTCTTAACAGTTTTTAGTACTTAACCTTTCAACAGTGGACTAGTCGGGTATGGTTCTACCCCCAGCAGTGGAGAATAAATATGGGAAAAGGGAAAAAATGTGGGATTTTTAAAGTATTTTTCCACATGTTTTTTTTCATTACTGTTTTGGAAAAAGATTTTGTAAACAGTTATGTCTAGGAAAGAAAAGTCTTTTTTTATTGTTACATAATTCATTTTTTATGTGAATTTTTTTTCGCGATAGTTTTAGGCTAGTTTTTGGTGATATGCCCCAAAAGAATTTGATGACTATAGTCACTGAGTGGCTCACTGAATGGCTAACAGATGCATCTACTGTTCTTAGTTCTTACAGAATACTTTAGTAATACAAATATTACAAGTATTTCTGTGGAAAGTAGTATCATTACATGACCTGTTAAAATTTTAACATGACCCATAGTTTGAAAAATGCTGCACTATACTATTCAACATCCTTTTATTCAATTCTTTATGCTGGTCGATTCATCAGTCAAAATGCATTTTTGACTTGAAAGTTCTTCAGTTGATTCTAGAATACTTTTGATTTATTATCTCTTTGTTCAGATAAACTTTTATTTGCATTTGTTCATATTTGTGTAAATATAATAAAATAATTTTAAGACAAAAATTGTTCAAACAAGTTAAAATATTTAACACATTTATTTAAAATTTATAACAATAACAAATTATTTAAAATTTAGTTCTAAATATTTTTTAAATGTTCTTTATTTATTAATATTGTATAGGGATCCTATTTCCTCGGGCCCTGAGCAATTTGTTACTTTTGCCCCATTGGGCATTCCTTTCATACTATAGCACTCAACAACATGCCAATCTGTAGTCTAGTTTTCTTGTAAAATAAGAAAAAAATAGTATTCTTGAATAAAAAATTGAATAATAAATATTTTTAACTGAAAAAATGAAATATTTAGATGATTTGAAATTGGAGAGAATGCTGATATACAGTATAATTTTGAAGAATTACCAAGCCCACACTGAATTTAAGATACATTTGGATTTTTAAGATGCACACCAACTTTGAATTCAGAATCATGAAAAAATGCTTTTGAAATTCAATGTAATACATTATATAAAGAAAGAGATAACATTCAATAGGCTACAAATTTTATAAAATTCTGTTTTCAACATCTCACTATTAATATTGAATAAATTTGTAGAAAAAAAATCACATAAAATAGACAAATAGATCATGATAATTATTTTATGCAAAAATATTATTTCTTGTTTGATAAATAAATATTTTAATTAGGACTTTAGTCTGTTGGATGGCTTTTACATTAACATGAATTGCATTCAGTAACTGAAATGAGTTTCTGTAAAGAAGTTAAATGATATTTTTAAATGTATACATACAAAATTTCTATAAAAATATGATAAACAAGAATTTTATGTAAATATATTTAAAATGTATAATGTAATGAAAATGATAGAGAAAATTTATTGATAAAACAAAATTCAGTTACACTATTTACTTGTTTACATGTTTACAGTCAGTCTTTCTTCCATCCCTTCATAAATTGTAGTAAAATTTTTGTAATTATTATTTTAAAAATATTAATAATAATTCTAAAAAATCAAATAGTTATTAAAAATTATAATTTAAATTATTGTTTCGTTAATTCAAAGATAAAAATGTATATAGTATAATTTGTATATATTTTTTCCGTTACAAGTCAGAAAATTTATATTGAAATTTTGTGAATTGTAAATTCTCAGTAGGCAATTACCATAAATTCTGTAAATCAGAAAGCCATACTAAATGTTTGAACACCTATTTTTTAATAAAGGTATTCAAACAATCAGTGTGGTTTCCTAATTTAAAGAATATACTGAGAATTTATGTAGCAATTCTCAGGAAGTGAGTGATATTAAATTTATATGTGCATTTATTTTATTTATTATATTGTTGACAATTGCTATCAATGTATGTTTTCTGCACTAGTTATTATGAATGTATTTGAGTGTTGTAGCTATTGATATATATTTAAGTAGTAGTAATAGTAGTAGTATCTACTAATATATGAGAGTATTTGTTTTTTATTAGTTGTTACGTAATGTTATTAAATACTGGTTAGTCTCAATCAATATGTATTGAGTGGCTGAATTGTTAAGAAGGTGAGTCATTCAGATATAGGATCTAGTTGTGAATCAAGATGCTGTCAAATTTTCATAGGTGATTTTATCAAGATATGTTGGGATCTATCTTCCTGCACAATTACTCTATTGAGAGTCTGGCTGAGTCCACTTTTTGTCAAAAAAAAAAAAAAAAAGAAAAGATTTCTTAGTGTCAGCAGGGCTGGAAAAATATGGATATATCTTTTTCGGATATAAATAGAAGTATTTTTTTAACATTTAGAACCAATTTATCTAATTACAGATTTGAGGTTTATCATATTGACAAACAAATAAAATGATAAATGTATGAATAAATGAAATTGCAATATATCAGGTTGTAATAGTGAACTTTAGATATTTCGATTTTTTCTAGAAACGACTGGAAAAAATGTTCTAGAACGTAATAATTAGAGTAATCACGGGGGCATTTCATCTCATATTTTAGGAAGGCTCAAAAAATAATTTGCTACAAATCATTCATTCCATTACATTTTTTTAAAGATTACAATATAATCTTTCATAGGTTTTTTGTTTTACTATACTAAGAGCCTTAAGAAGCCTTACTACTTACTTACTAACGCCGGGCACATCTGTTAGTTTACAATAACAGCATTAGCAACACCCCCGAACCTCGAGTATTTATGGGTCGTCGTTGATCAACACCTGACTTAACCCGCAACAGGCTTGCTAAATAAAGAGGCCCTCTTAGTGTCTAGAGGAGCGAGTGAAAAAATAAATAAATAAAACCCTCGGAGTGGCAAGTGTGCCTTTGCCACTTTAACTGTTTCTCTAAAATTATCCTTTAAAAGGAATGCGCTTACAAAAGAATAGAAAAAGATTAGATCTGCAGAAACTGTTTTATTTTTGCAAACATTATGTTTTTACAAATTACATAAGTTTTATTCGTTATCGAGGCATTTTTAAACAGACTTTTAATAACATATAGGTCCAAACACATATTTTAATGTGTGCGAGAGCTCTCGACTATCGCTTGGATGCCTTAATTAGGCCGTAACAATTACTATTAATGTTTTACAAATATAAATATACAACAATTTATAATTGAGATTAAAATTATTAATTAATATATTAATAATCAATTAATTTATCAAACGTTTTATGTATAAAAAATTTGTTTTGCAATTAATCCTTTTACTAGTGTCTGAATAACAAATATCAATTTGTTGAGCGTGTCGTTCCAATAACAAATTAAAACACAATTCCGGAGAGTCCAAGTTCCAGGGATGACAAAAATTGGGAGTCAAATTTGAGCACAGACACAAGCCGGAAGAGTCCAAATTCCAATATAGACAGGATTCTGAAGTCAAATTCGAGATAGACGTAATTCGGGAGAGTCCATATTCGAGTGCAGACACCATTCATGAGTCAAATCCGGGGTTGACATAATTCGGGAGAGTCCAATTCGAGTACAGGCACAATTGAGGAGTCAAATTCGGGGTAGACGTAATTCGGGAGAGTCCAGATTCGTGAAGTAGACATAAATCGAGAGTCCAAATTCGTGTAGACCAATTCGGGTAAATGATAATTGACTAAAAGACAATAATAAGGAGACACAGCCGGGATAAAGTCAAAATTGGGAAGTCATAATCGAACTTGGCATTGACGCAATCGGGATGTCAAAATCAGGAGAAGTCATCGATGGTTTGCAGAAAAAACCATATCTAAAAGTGAATGAAAAACCAATATTTTAATTTTTACTTATAAATTGAAAATTATTTTTGCAATTTTTAGGAGCTTTTTAGATTTTATTTATTAATTTTTAAACTTTATCATTTCTTTTTGTTATTTTTTGAATATTTTTAAATGAAAACAAAATTAAGAATATTATTTCCTTCTAAAATGGAAATAAAGTTACGTGCCAAATGATATTGCTTACCGCAATTAATTGCATACTGCCACGTGTCATGTATGTATCAAATATGTCATTGTCAATTCCATTATTTTAACATGTTCCCGTCCGCATAATCACGTAAGATTACTGGATAATTTAATTTCTACGTTCATTTATACCATTGCTTTCGCTTATACCCAGAGACCAGCAACTTATACCCAGGAAGTATTATCGTGAATACTTGGACAGGAATATACAGACTATGTATGCCCGATACCCTAAAAACGTGGCTTTTCTGTAATCGCATCGAAATCGATCGCATCAAAATATAATACACTTCCACACTAATACCGTACATAAATATTTCCATTTTTTCTGTTGTCCGGCCATTAATTGAGGGTTATTATGAAATCGCGGTTAGATATTGTGTCAATTTATAAACCCAGACCGTAAAATCTCCCAAGTGTTTGGTACAATACAATACAATACAATACAATACAATACAATAAAGTTGCCATACACACTTACAATTAGCCAACTCGGCCCAGATCCAGCAAATCACAGAGCAGATCTTATTGTCGAATTTGACAATGGAAGCAAAGATATCCTTACTCGAACCGAACATACTCGCATTCTCCATTTCTGGCCATTTTACACACCTTCTGCACGGATCTAAATGTAGAAAAATAAGTATAATTATTCATGGAAAACGTATAACTCCCCTTGAATTCCATTAAAACATATTGCGGCGCTGTATCGATGGACTGTAAATGTTGGCCTACAAAGAACGAAAGTTGGATTACGAAATTTTCTACTAATTCATTGGTTCGGTGACGTTTTGAATTCAACTTTTCATCCAATCAGTAATAACACGGACGAATAGGCCGAACAGCGCCGAACAATACGGGAAAATTATGCGATTCGCAAACATTTCCAACTCAAATCTTAATGCTATAAAAATTTTTGGCGTAATCGATACTTGGGCTTAGCGCCACACTCGATTTATTGCCAATTTCAGAGGCTAAATCATACAAAATCTTACCTCTTAACGGGTTTCCACATGCTCTTAAAGAACGACCCGACTTTCTTCAATGTATTTCTATCCCTGGAATGGCCAGGATTATCTTGCACGCAATCTTCGTGCTCTGCCGGGTCTTCGTTCTCTTTGGTGCTTCGTGGAGGAATCACGCTCTCTCTATTGTTCACTCCTTCATCCTCCACATCTTCGACCAATCTCTCACTAAACAAGGAAAGAAATACAATAAATATATAATTTTGGAATTGAATTACGATGAATATTTATAAATGGTAACACTTGGAAAACATTTTCTTTAATTTCCCATCAGGGCAAGAAACTATTAAACTTATTACTATTTATCGAAAAATTAAAACGATGATTCCTCGTATTTCTCAGAATAACCCCTCGTTAAACA